AAGAAATTACGCAATAAACGTTACTCCCCTTATCCTCCTAAAAATGACATTTTGATTGGCTAAAAAAAATATTTTTTGTATGATACTTATACCGGAGCTCACACCTACTTAGATGCACAATAATATCATATGATATAAATAACAACATACAAACAGATATATCTGAAAATTGTATAATATATATAATAAGTAGAAGGATTGTTCCTTTTTTGGTTTTGCGTTACCCACGTTTATTATGTTATGTAAATATTTGTCGATCCTTTTTTGAATCGTAACTATACAAAATTATACGAAAATTATACGATCTACATGAGCGCAATAAAATAAATCAATAGTAGTTAAATCTAAGTACTTGATTTTGATTTATATAAATTGGAACCTTCATTTTCTTAAAGAGCATGAATTTTTTTCTCCATCTCAAAAATGGATACCCCCCTTAACAAGAAACTCAAAAAACCTCTGAATTCGTTTATAATTTATAGGATTGTAATTCACAATTATCTTAAAGCAAATAATTTCAAATGTTCTAATTGCGATGTCTCTAAGCTGGCCGGCAAGTTGTGGGGAAATGAAAGCGACGACGTTAAAAATATATATAAGCAATTGTCTCAAGCAACAAAACATGAAAAAAATCTTCGAGGAGTATGAAACTGCTTATAGTGAAGAAAGTTCTCAAGAAAGAACAGGTTCTCTTGAGGCTATAAATGATTTTTCTTCTAATATTCAATTCATTGAATCTGCCCAATTCACGTCACCCGCCCAATCCACTATCCCATTAAATATCAATTCGCCACTCATCAGCAATAATACAATTAACACTTTAGCACAAGCAACGAATTTAAACTTTAGCATTATGTTCATTTCTTTCTATGAATCTTAAATAAATATTTTCATTTTTTAATATTTTACGATATTCATAACTAAATTCAACATTTAAATTTTTTTGTTCAAAACTTCAATTTGTATTATTTAACTTCAATTTGCATTATTTAACATCATACTTTGCTTTTACATTTTTTCAACTTCATCCTTTATT